TCGAGTTTGGACTCTTGGCTTTGTTCAAACACAGGTTATTGCAGCCATTTGGGGAGTACACTACTGGACTGAAAATCTCTCCTTATCTCTGTCACTCTGCCTTTCAAATAAATCTTTTTTTGTTTGTGTGTTTTTAAAACAGGATTTAACAATTACAGACATTTTTCCAGATTTGCTTTATTTCCTTCAATGAAATATTTTTATGTGAACCCCATCTGTAGCATTTCACTCCTATATTAGTAATCTTAAGAAACAAAAGCAAATTCTTAAACACAAAGTAAAAATAAAGTCAATGGAAATCAACGGTTTCTTGGAATAGCTGTCACTAATCAAATATTCCCAATTTCCTGAAAAAGTTCTTTTACAATAATTTTGTTCAAATTGAGATCCAAAGAAAATCCACAAAAACATTATTTCTCAAAGTTTTCCTTCCATCATTCTTTCCTATCTCTGATTGCTGAAGAATCTCATTTGTAATTTTATACACAATTTACACATCTTAATTTTACTGTACTAAGGTTATGCAACTATCACCACTATGTAATTCCAGAACATTCTCTTCAGGCCAGAAGGAAATCCCACACATATCAGCAGCTGTTTCTCATGACCACTCCCAGTGCCTGGCTATATTAAGCTACTTTCTTTCTTGCTGGATTTTCCTATCCTGGATGACACATGTAAACAGAACCAGAAACAGGTTATTTTGATGTCTGATCAGATTAGATAAACAGATCTTTGTTAGATACCAAAGATACCTATGACATGGACCTTGCATTGAACAGTCAAAATAAACATTCATTCAATAAACAAAAATATGTTGTCATTCTCATTCTGAATAGCACCTCAGGCATGCTTCCAGCTCATGGTTTATCTTTCCCTCACAAACACATATACAACAAATATTCTTCACGCGTGCCACTAGCTACTCATGTATGACAAGAGATTCAATTTTTTTTTTTTTGTTGGCCACAGTTTTGAAAATAACTGGTGGTTAACCAAAATGCTAGCACATTATGTTGGTCACATACATACATTAGGCTCAGTGCCTGACCTATTATCTCCTACTTTCTCTTCGATAGGCATACCAGAACACAAATTTAAAAAATAAAAACAAAGCCTTGACTATTTCTTGTCAATGCCTCGCTTAAAGCAGACAATGGGTGTTGGCTCAGACTTCAGATCCTCACCCTTCCCCAGGATCAGAATGCACAGGTCACCCAAGCATTTAACACACACACCTTCTGGAAAATGACTCTGAGTTTGTGCTTCCCTTCATATCAAAGAGAGAAACTACTAAGTATGACTACTTCATAGGTTAACTACAAAGCTGTTAAGCTCATCTGCTTACTCAACACTAGCCCAAGGGCAACAATCATAACTATTCTCTAACTCTCATTACCCAGTCACTGTGACATTTCAGAACTGAAACAGTCACTTCAGTGTGGAACTTCTAGCCCATATAAAAGCGCCTACAGGAAAGGAGTTCCTACAGAGAAACAGCCACATTCTCCATATCGTGGCACAGTGACCTCTAACGGCACTAACAACTTCAACATTAAGGATGCACTGTGGTATTGCAGCGTAAAGTTACCATCTGCAATGCCAGATACTAGACAGGCAAAAGTTTGTGTCTCAGTTGCTGCACTTCGAGTTCAGTTCCCTGCTAATGGCCTGGGAAAAACAGAAGATGGCTGAAGTGTTTGGGCCCCTGCAACCAACTTGGGAGACATGGATGGAGTTCCAGGCTCCTGGCTTCAGTCCAGATCAATGCAAGACATTGTAATCATTTGGGGAGTGAACCACTAGATGTAAAATCTGTTTCCCTATTTCTCTGTAACTCTTTCAAATAAATAAATAACTACTTAAAAAAATTAATACAAGTCCACAAAGAGGGGAGCTGCTAACGAATCCTGCTCACGTACGGACGAAAGGAAAGTTTAGCCATGCAGAGGGCTTAGAAATGATTACCTGGGGCCAGGTACCAATTGCCCTTTGCTTATGAGCTCTCTTCTCTCTCCTAATCTGTTATACTGTGGATTTTCACAGCCTTGGACCTCTGCCATCTGCGTGACTGTCTCTTTTTTTTTTTACACTAATTATCCTTCCTACTTTTTTATTGCTGTCACTATAAAGTCATTTTACTTAAAACAAAAGCTTTATATATTTAAAAATGAAGTCTCAAGGAAGGAGTTAAACATAAGCATATTTTCTTTTCCCTAACAGTCATGTAGCCAGTTAGCTCCTCTTCAGTTTTGATCCACTATTAGGGTTCACACACACAGCACAAAAACTAGGGAGATTTAGCGCCACCCTACTACTGCTACAGTTCAGGAACTAAAGGAAAGAAACATGCGGAGTGCTTTAGAGGCTTGTGAGAAGGCAACAGGAACCCTGAACACACGCAGAGAGGAACCTCCCACCCCAGCTCTCCACACAGTTTGTCCCCAGAACAGCAACCCAAGGAAGCTGTGCTAGAAGGATTACAAACTCTTCTACCATCTTTACAGTGGCAGAAAGTTGGCAAGGGAGTAACCATGAAGTTCGCGACACAAACTAAACAGACTTACTAATCTGGACAGAGATCCTCCTGAGGATACCATACCTGGCCTGCACCTAGTACTGCACCCAAGCGCTGAAGGTCATATTAGGCACAATGAAACACACACCACTGCAAAGAATGAGGCTGTGACGTATACCTGAGGACTAGTGGACTTACTGAGACACATGTGTGCAATCCTATTTGCTTTTTAAAAGCAAAAACAGGAACAGAAAACCTGGGAGATGGCTCAGGGCTGAAACTGAGACCTATCTGGTGCCTTGGATGCAGTGCTAGACAACATCAAGTCCTGCTGCCCAAACTCCTAGCCTGCCTCGCTTAGCTGAAGGTTTCCTGAAGTTGCTTCTGTGATTGCAAATCATTCACTTATTAAAATTAGCTCACTGCATAGTTCTGACCCTACAGGGCCCCTGAACATGACTCAGGAGGTCATTTATCTCTCTTATGAAAATTATCTTTGACATTCAGGCTTGTCTTGAGAGATGCCTTTTTGTGAAACCACAGGCCTCACACTAAAGTTAACTGCCACTTTTGAGTAGCTCCTAGACTGCTCTAGGCCACTTCACCATCATCAAAATTCCCTCCAGAACACAGCACTGCTGACCAAGAGAAGAAATACTTTGATCATTATGAAACAACCAAGGATCTGGATGTGGGCTGAACACACACCTTTCAAACAGAATAAAGGCATATGAACCTTGACCACTAACCCCTCTGCAAGTCCAGGAGTTAAGCAACAGTTACGTGACTCCTTGTCGTGCACTCTGCAAAATATCTACCTACTTCCACCTCCAGGGTTGCTTTTTTAAGCTACACATGTGGTGAATAGACCTAGTTTGGGCAGTCCTAGGAAAATTCCTCCAAACACTTTTGGTAGAAGTCTACAGCATTCTTATCAATGGATCTTGAGAGGGGAGAACTGAATGACAGAGACAAAGCAAAGGAGATATCCCTCTAAATTTGTTATGAGTTAATGCTAAATTAAACACCTGGGCAAGAGTTCACACCTGAAATGATGCTATCAGCCTAAGTGACATTCCTTTACAAAACAATTCATCTTCTTGTGCACATATACATCAATGTACATGTCTAAGAAAGCCAGTTATATTAGGACCTGCACTACTCCAGCAGGCTAAGCTGATATAAAAGACAGTAAGCAAAACAGATCATTTGAATTTAGTTTGGCCATTTAAGCAGATTCACAGGAAAGCTGACTGTAATACATTCGAAAAAAAATTTTAATAATGCAAGAGTAAAACAAATATTTTCTAGCTCTCCTGATGATAGGGAACAGAAAGAGAATCACAAAAACAAAATCTATGCATTCCCTAGAAAAAAAGGCCCATGGCATTTATAAGAAATCTGGTTCTCTTCTTTACTTTTTTGATAAAAAAATTGCCATATCTCAGACCTGGTTGGACAGAAAGGAACCCACCGGCATGTACGTGGGCTGCTTAGTGGAGCTGGTTGGGTTGAACTAGGCTTCAATGCCCATGGACATGTATGAGAGCTGAATTTGATATGTGACAGACTGGACTAGTCTGCTGTACATACTGGCATGCATGGGGAGCAGGGCAGTGGGTGGACCTGGGAGGGTAACTGAGGGTCACTCTGACTAGGCTGCAGCTCCCACTGGTTTGTGTGAGGGCCAAGTGTGTGCTGGGCAGAATAGAATCAGGCTGGACTGCAACACGCATCAGTTCCAGGGGAAGACAGGGCTGGAAACAGAAGCGACCCAGCAATTGCAACCACCAGCTGACTGGGGCGATGGACTGTGCTGGGTCCTGTACTTGCAAGTACACACAAGAATCTGGTCTGGGATCACCTCAGACAAAGTTTCTTTGGGGATCTCCCCAATCGAACTGCCAGACTCAGAACCCTAACCATGAAGAGAAGTGCAGGTTCCATGATCTGTCATGGAGTACAAGTGTCAGAGTCAAACCTCCTCAGAGGCTCAGACAGAGCAGTGGAAAGCATATCCAGGTACACATGGAGGATATGGCAGTCCACTGGAAGCAACAGAGGACACCTGGTACCATAACAGAGGATGGAGGACAGAACAAGTTGATCAACTACCCCTGCCAATCAATGGCAGCGAAAAAATCTGGGCAAATGGAGACTCTAAGGTGGACTATGTCAGACAGCGGATTCTGCAGCAATTTCATCGTGCTTGGAATGGCAAGACTGGCAGCAATTCATAACTGTTGAACCGTCAAAACCACCTGAGCAAGACCCTCAAAGCATGCCCCACCCTGGGGACCTGGGATGGGTGGGAGGCTGGATGGGGCTTCTCCCTTTATCTCCTCCTTTGCCCCAGATACAGAAAAAAAGAGAATGTGGAAATAATAGTCTTACCCACTTTTCTGTAACCCTTGACCCTTTGTGCCCTAATTAACCATGTAAAGATTGTCAAAAATAAAGGAAAAGAATTGCCATTTCTTACCTGATCACAAATCAATTCCCATTTTTTCTCATTGTCATATTGCCGCAGTAACCTGGCTTTGTCAGGAGGTAGGTTCATAGCATTCTATTAAAAAAAAAGAGAGAGAGAGCAAGATCAGTCACATTCCACAATAGGCAGCCAATGACTAACAACAGGCAGATTAACAGAACAGGATTGCAGCTCTTTTATTATCTACTTTCCCTTAGTAGGCAGTATCCTGTACCAAATCACCCTGCAAAAATAATTCAAAGCGAACTGATTTAATGAGAGGAGGTAAATGAAGGTTGTTTGTTGAGACAGATGAGGTCATAAATTTCGAGCAATCAGGCCTACATTTTCATAGAGAGGATGATGCCGTTTCCCTTCATTTAACAGTGGGCTCATCTTCTACCACTCTCAGGGTCTGAACAAGTTGATCACAGAGGATTTCCTCAGCATTGCAGTGCAGGTTAAGCTGCAGACTGAGACACAAACTCAATCTGAGAGCCTAGGATCATTTCCTCCTCTGCTTCTGATCTGACTTCCCGCTAATGTGCACTCTGGGACGCAGGCAGGCAGCACTGAAAGATCTGGTTAGAATTCTTGACTCTTGGCTTCAGCTTGGGCCAGATTACTCATTCCAGAAAACTTGGGTAGTGAACCAGTAGACAGAAGATTTTTCTCTCTCTCCCTGTCACTCTGTTTTTCATATAAACAAAATTTTAAAAATAACAAATGGATTGGCCCTATTTCTCTGAAAATATTTTAGCACTACCAGGCACACAAGCAACAACTCTCAAGAAAAACTCAGCAGCCAAAACGACTGACATATAATATCAATTTTCCTAGCTTTGATAAACAACCACAAGTAAAATAATGCACTTAAAAATAAACATGACAATGATATAATTTTCCCTCTACGAGCTGGTATCATTCCTTCAAGATATATGCTAGCGTGCGCAACCATTTCTCTTAGCTTATTCTTAGCTGGTTTATGAAGCTGAGTTTGCACTGGGAAAATGAGCACAAGCTTATCACAAAATGTCTAGACAAAAGCACTCAAGAACCACCTATTAGCACACCTTCTGCAGGGTTAGTCATGGGTCTGCCTAAGTATTTCATGTGTTAATGAGTGCAACAAATCAAGAGCAAACATACACATTTTTTAAGATCCTTAGCTTTGTTTCGAAGACGAGATCTTCGGTGATAGAATATGACAGGGTAAGAAGAGTTCCAGAAAGAAGATCTGTTGCCTTGACCTCTGCCAAGTTTCTATGTTCTAAACAACTGAGCTAAGTAGTCAACTCATGTATTACAACTACTAATGGTTCTTTCTGTTCCCTAGCATCAGCATTCCAAACTGTACCTAACCCTATTCAATAAGGCAGTTCCTTGTCTGGGTCAGTATTGAGATATGGCAATATATACATTGAAGGCTCAAGTCCCAAATCTTAAAGATTTGGCTTAAAGAGAAATGATTCCCCTTAGCATGGTTGCTATTTCATGCTACAGAAAGAAACAAATTTAATAGAAAAAGAAAGGGCTAGGTGGGTGGGATATTCTGGCTTAATGCATAAATCAAGTTTAATGATTTGGATAAATTTAATCCACTCACTTTTCCCTTCAACTCAATGCAGCATTCAGACTGGCATGACTGGCATATATACTATCAATTTTAATTTATCCCAGGTTTTGGAATGTCTTAAAGATATTTAATGTTTAAATTAATCCCAAAAATGACATCATTGCTTGAAGAGTTTTAGACTTGTGTTTTTAATGTTAACGCCAAGGTTTCTTAGATATAGAAGCATCTAAAATAGAAAAATGTTTTAATACGGCCTATCTCCACATAATAGCCCCTTGATCCAAAATAGCAAATGTCTACTTCTATGTAGTACATATCACACTTTAATGACAATAAGCAACAATTGGGATAAGGCACAATTCCATGTGAATCAATGCAGGTTACTATTCAGTAAAAAGTTTATCACTGTTTATAATCTAGAGATTAATTTTTTCCTCTTAAACTGGTTTTGAACTTACCTGAACCCCTCTAGGGATATGACTATTCATTAAGCAAAACAAGATTACAAGATAAATATAAGCCTTTTTTTATTTTTTTACTTCAGATATAAAAGAAATAAGAAAGCCTGGAACTCCTGCAACATGCAAACATACCATTAGGTATTTTGCATGTGTGATTTCACTTGATCTTCCATATAGTTAAGTATGTGGGATAATAATACACAATATAGTACGCAAACATGTGGGAGGACCTAGTTAGCTTATTCAAGGTTGCAAAGCTTTAAAAGAATAAGAACAAGATGTAAAATAATCTGTTACATGTTCAAGGGCAAACTTTGAGTGTACAAAAACCAAGTCCGATTTTTCTTTGCTTTGTTTTGCAGCAAAAACAAATGACAAATAATTTATGATCTTCTGTAAGTGCTCTACTACACACTCCCAGGAGCACACTCAGCAAGCATGGCTTCAAGCATTAGATGCTAGCTATATAGATGTTTGTGAAGCATATAACATCCTCCTGAAAAGAAACTTGAAGCACAATAAATGAATGATGAATGAATAAATAAATAAATAAATAAGGAAACATAATAAAGGAATGCATTGGGGAGAATTTCACTCAAGATTCCAGATCAGATCTATAGGCCATCTAGGTGAAGCTGGAGAAAGGTTGTCTTCTCAAGAAAAAGAAGTATTTTTTTCCCCCAAAAGGAGAAGAAATCAGCTACATGAGGAGTATATCAAAGCATATAAGGCTGAAGAAAATAAGAGAAGATTCTAAGGCAATTAGACAGTGCTGGGCTCATTAAAGAAAGCCAGCAGAGCTGGAAAGAAAATAGAAAGAGGAAAGAAGCAATGAAGTTGGAAAAATGAATCAAAACCCATAGTTTGGGGCCCGGCACGGTGGCGCAAGTGGTTAAAGGTCCTCGCCTTGCACGCCCGGGATCCCATATGGGCGCCGGTTCTAATCCCGGCAGCCCCGCTTCCCTTCCAGCTCCCTGCCTGTGGCCTGGGAAAGCAGTCGAGGACGGCCCAAAGCTTTGGGAACCTGCACCCGCGTGGGAGACCCGGAAGAGGCTCCTGGCTTTGGATCGGCATAGTATCGACCCGTTGCGCTCACTTGGGGAGTGAATCATTGGACGGAAGATCTTCCTCTCTGTCTCTCCTCTCTGTATATCCGCCTTTCCAATGAAAAAATAATAAAAATAAAATCTAAAAAAAAAAAAAACAAACCAGGGCCCGGCGCGGTGGCGCAAGTGGTTAAAGGTCCTCGCCTTGCACGCCCGGGATCCCATATGGGCGCCGGTTCTAATCCCAGCAGCCCCGCTTCCCTTCCAGCTCCCTGCCTGTGGCCTGGGAAAGCAGTCGAGGACGGCCCAAAGCTTTGGGACCCTGCACCCGTGTGGGAGACCCAGAAGAGGCTCCTGGCTTCGGATTGGCATAGTATCGACCCGTTGTGCTCACTTGGGGAGTGAATCATCCGATGGAAGATCTTCCTCTCTCTCTCTCCTCTCTATATATCCGCCTTTCCAATGAAAAAATAATAAAAATAAATCTTTAAAAAAAAAAAAAAAAACCATAGTTTGCCCAGATGCTCAGTTAAGTGTCAATGTCTTTTTGATTTGCCTAAAGTGCAACTGGAAAACCACTGAGAAGGTTTCAGCAGGGCAACAGCACAAACAAATTGCTTTTACAAAGAGCACCACATGTGCTCCATGGAACACTGATCAGAAATAGTGGAAGCAGAAGCAGGGAGGCCAACTATGAGACCATGACAAGAGCACATGTAAGCAATGGTGACTTAGATGGAGCCAACTGCACACTGAATAGAGAAAAAATGAACAGGACAGTCAAACTAATCCATTAGATTCAAGGACTGAAAACCAATGTGATTGAGAGCATCTTGTTTCTACCTCAAGTCACAAGATGAATGATAGGGCCTTAATAAAAAGCAATAGAAATAATAGCAACACAAAATGGAGAAGGTGGCAAGGAGTGAGGTTTGTAAACGTTCATGATGGGTTCTGAGATGGTTCTGAGACATCCAGGGAAAATAGTCAAATGAACAATTAGAAGCATGACTGAGAAAGGACAAGAAGACCTTTTTCAAAGTCTTTCAGGGCCTGATAATTATTCACAGGCATAAGAAGCTGCTCAACACAAATATTCCACAACTAAAACCACTCTTAGTCATTATTTACTCAAGCCACTCCACTAGTGCTGTCCATGATTCAAGCCCCCAAGGTGCTCAGACATACCTTGTATGGGTTAATAATTCTGCAACACCATGAGGATGAAGTTGTATTTAAAATCAGCCACTTCATAGTGACTTCACTAACATTCAGGCATGTTGTGATTAGCTGGTAATAACTTCTGCAGAATGAACTCACTCCTCCTGTGCTTTGCAGGGCAGGACTGCAGAGTACAAGCTAAATGTTTGCGCAGGTCATTCTTTCAAAGCCTAACATACTTCCTCAAAAAAAAAAAAAAATACCAGCTCTATCCTTAGGTTCTACTGTTGTATGTACAAAAATGAACTACTCTCTAAATTGCTTGGAAATGTCAATCAATTTCCAAGTTTTCTTAGAAAACTTGACTCAATAACAACTCATTTTCACCTGCATTCAGTGTTGCCAGTGATATGGGACTTTCCTTAGGTCCTTTCACCCTCCGATTCATTCAACATGTAAAGGCTTTTGACCCAATGCCAGAATATCAGCCAAAACGCACACGAGCAAATTTAATCAAGTTGTGGCATGCAAGTAAGTTCATGTCAAAGATATCCAGAAGACAGCCGAGTTAAAGTTTAGTGCATATTAATTGTTTGCTGGATCATACAAGTTCTTAGCCAAACACATTAGATCATCCAGGAGTATTCTTTAAGGAATGCTTCTTTCCCTTCACTCACAACTTGGCAAATTTTACCGTAAGTTGCTTCGGTATTATTTATTGTTAACACCGTTCCCTCAACTACTCGGACATACTGTCTCACCCATGTCAGCACCTGGCATGCTGTAGCCTAATAACCTACTTGTCAACCAAGAGTCCCTAATGAGCTAAATCTTCAAGGACAGTATTTCCCC